CCGACTCATAGCGACCCCTCCTTGGGTTTCCGAGGCAGTATCACTACGGAAGTAGATTGCCCAACCTTCCTTCCGAGGAGTGGCTGGTGGGTTTCTACCGCCAGCCTTCTGGTTAGCAGTCAAGTGCTTTAGCCACTATGCTACCAGAGCTCCTATTACCAAGATAGAGAACCTATTTATTAACTCTAAAAGTTCCCTAGTACATCTTTGCAATCCACCCCCTACCTTCCACCTCAGGCAACCATTAATGTACTGTCATTATACATTAGTTTTGCCTTCTCTGTACCTTCATATAAATGCAATCATACATACTCCTTTAAGTCTGGCTTCTTTTGCTCAGCATAACATAAAGCTGGGTGCTTTTCAACTGGAAAATTGTACATGCTGGATTAGTTCTGGGAGCTCTGGTAGCATAGTGCCTAAGGCATTTGACTGCCAACCAGAAGGCTGGCGGTTCAAATCACCAGCCACTCCTTGGAAGGAAGGTTGGGCAATCTACTTCTGTAGTGATACCACCTCAGAAACCCAAGGAGGGGTTGCTATGAGTTGGATACGACTTGACGGCAGTGAGTTTGGTTTTTGGTTTTTGGATTGATTCTGGTAGGTTAGGTGACTCTCACTCTGGTGAGGCCAGTCTGTCAGCATCTCTTTGGTATCTAGAGAACCCAATTTTGTGCCTGGTTCCAGATGGTCTACTTACAAAGCTGGGTTACATGATCTCTAATGGAAATGCTTCACTCTCAAGTATTATCTTTACCTGCTACAACTTGCCCCCAAAATGCAAGTAGCTTTGATTATAAAAGCAACATGTATTTATTGTAAGGAAGGGGGGAAAAAAGTAGATAGAAACATACAAAAAAAAAAAAAAAACTCTATTGCCGTTGAGTTGATTCCCACTCCTAGTGACCCTCCAGGACAGAGTAGAACTGCTCCATAGGGTTTCAAGGCTGTCTATCTTTACAAAAGCAGTTTGCCTCACCTTTTTTCCATCTTATTTTTTATTTTTCCTCATATCCAAGTAAGTATTGTGGCTGACAGATTCAAACCGTCAACCTTTTGGTTTGCATGTGTTAACCACTCCATCACCAGAGCTCCTTATAACAGAAACATATAGTGTAAAAATTGCCCATAAACCAAGCTATGAAAAATAACCACTGGGAACATTATCTATCTCCCCACTCCCGGACTTTCCCCTACTACGTTCACAATTTCTGTGACTTGTTTGCTTTTAGGGAAGAGTGGGGTCCTACTGTATCTACTGTGGTACAACCTCCTTTTTTCCCTTCACAGTACATTGTGGACCTTTTTCAATATAGTAAACATATATCTACTTCATAACTTTAAAAGATGTATATTGCTGTTAGGTGCCGTCGAGTTAATTTTTACTCATAGCGACCCCATGTGACACAGCAGAACTACCCTACAGGGTTTCTAGGCTGTGACCTGTATGGGAGCAGCTTGCTGGGTCTTTCTCCACCGAGCAGCAGGGTGGGTTTGCGCCACTGACCTTCCAGTTAGCGGTCGTGTGTTTAACCAAGACTCCTTAGAAGATGTATATTATACCACAATTAATTTAAATAATTGCAGTGTAAAGGATACTCACTCTCCTGTAGATATTTGCTGTACGGGGGGGGAGGGGAGGTTCATATCACTGTGGGGCCCACATCTAATTCCTGTTTTATTCCTTTGTTGTTGTTATGTGTTGGCCTGACTCATAGCCACCTTGGGTTTCCAAGGTGGTATCACTAAGCGATAGGTATCACTACTGAAGTAGATTGCCCAACCTTCCTTCTGCGGAGTGGCTGGTGGGTTTGAACCACCAGCCTTCTGGTTAGCAGTCAAATGCCTTAGGCACAATGCTACCAGAGCATCCATTAGTAGAAATGAAAAAGAATCACAGCCTTGGGAAAATGTACCTTCCCCCCACCCAATTAAAATACCAGGGTTTTTTGGTTTTGTTGTTTTTTAAAATAGAGGCCCAGAGGCTCTCTAGGTCTTGAACACGGATGGTCCCCCCTTGCCCCATGAGGGAATCTGGCTCTGAGTCAGCTTTTGTCTCTCTCCTAAGAACCAATAGTTCATTTCAGGTCAGGCCTTGCTCTGACACTAGTGGAATCACTCAGACCCCGTAATGAGTTAACACTCAAAGTCAATCGTGGTTTGAGATCTTGAAGAAAGCTCAGCCCTGAGAAGTACTGAATTAGGGTACTAAATAAGTATTTTTAAAAGGAGGATTGAGAATGTAGGCTTGGGAGAGAAAAACAACCCACAGCTTCCCACCGTGAGCCTTCTCTGTGATTACACGTAAACGCTCTTGGCAGTGGTAAACCAGGTATCACAAGTCCACTCTGACTCATGGTGACCCCACGTGTGTCAGTGTAGAAGAATGCTCCAGAGGGATTTCAGTGGCTGACTTTTTGAAAGCAGATCACCAAATTTGTTTTGTTTTGTTTTGTTTCTCCAAAGGCGCCCCTGGGTGGACTTGACCCTCCAACCTTTTGGTTAGCATTTGAGCTCTTAACCACGTGCACCACCCAGGGACGCCTGGCAGTGGGAAACCATCTGTGTTCCTCTCTTTGCTCTGCTGGACTGTAGTCTCAGCTCCTCTGAAAGTAAAGTTCCTTATTGGAAACGGTCCCTCTGAAAGTCAGACTTTAAATACTCCCAAAGCCTAATCTCAGGGAGCTCTGGTAGCGTAGTGCCTCAGGCACTTGACTGCTGACCAGAAGGCTGGCGGTTCAAACCCACCAGCCAGTCCTCAGAAGGAAGGTTGGGCAATCTACTTCCATAGCGAAACTGCCTCGGAAACCCAAGGAGGGGTTGCTATGAGTCGGGTCCGACTTGATGGCACATAACAGCACAGCAAAGCTTAATCTCAAAGCTATGAGTGAGGGACAGGCACTACTGACTATGGAGATGTCCTTTCTCGGGAGAAAAATAAGTGAAACTTAATAAAGTTAAGGCTGGAAGCTGAACGAACACTAAGCATGTAAGAGAGAGCAGGAAAGAAGCTGCTCCAATGCAAACTGAGGGAGATGGTGAGGGTGCCCAGAAACGTACCTTCTCACCAGGGAACTGGTAACTCCTCACCTGTCCTCCAGATAAGCATAAGCCACACATACTCCATGACCTGTTACATACATCGTGATGTGTACTTCCTTTTCATCTGACATTTATCCTCAACTCCTAAAGATTTTATCATCTGAGTGGTCATGCCCCTGAATTGAATTTGGGGCTCTCCCTTTTGAGTGTTCCACTGAGCTTCTTTAGAGTGGATGACAGCCCTAAACCTCAGGGTCTCCCTAGGAAGCTAGAAAGGCCCACAGCTGCCTCCCACTTTAACAAGTTTGCTGGAGGAGGAGATGATTTCACCGATACAGAAAAGAAGTCACGAAAGAGCAGCTCTAAGATGAGCTCAGAATCTTGTGACCTTGTCCAGGCACCTATTTCCTGCTTGAGACAAGTTCCTGGTGTTTAATGACTGCTTCTCTCAAAACAAGGCAGTATTGTGTGTTTCTGTGCGTCCAGAGGTCTTTATAAGCTCTCACTTTTCAGCTTCCACTGCTGCCCCATCCTCTATCTAGACTCTGGAAACCCAAACTCCAGGCTTAAAGCCAAATAGCCAGAAGTAATCAAAGCTAAATCAAACTGTGTTTTGGTTAGAAGCTTCAAAGCCTGCTCTCCCCTCTTGGCAAGTCAATCACAGAAGGAAAAAAAATCTCTTTGGAGAAACCTGCTAACTTATTTCTGTTATTTACATCAAGTAAAAGAGAAAAGTCAAGCCATTAAACTATTTCAGGCCTTAGAGTCAGACTCTGTTTCAGTTCCAGCTCTTTCACTTACCAGCTGTGTGACTCTGGGTAACTTCCTGTATGTACTTCTTTGAGCCTCAGGAGTTGTTGACAGAATGCAAGGCAATGAGGTGGTGCCAACATACGTAAACTAGAGGGATTGCCCAGAGCCCTTTAATGAAAGTCCTTCGTAATCGTATAGTTACATATATCAGTGTAGTCATCCTAAAATGCATCTTCAGGTATGAGATTTCTCTCCCTGAGGCTGGGAGGCTTTCCTTCTTAGTCAAGCTGGGAAAGTGTCTCACCCAACCATGTGAGCTGTAAGGGCCTCTGACAAACCAGATATTCCTTGTTGCTGGCAAGGCCAAGGTCAGGGGCTAGGATGGGAAGCCACGTTCTGAGCTGATCCATGATACAGTGGAAACTCTGAGAGCCGGAACTTGATGAGACTGACTCCTTCTTCTGAGTCTCGCAAGTTTTCTGCCTTTGGCAGGGTGCAGTCTGACCACTTGTCTACTGCTGTCTGTCACTAGAAAATGGTTTAATTTTCCTTCTCTGACACAGGTTCCAGCTTCCACAGATTTTACTGTATTATCTAATGAATGTTTTTCAAACTGTGGATACTCATAAGTGTGATTTTTGTTTTGTTTTTATTTGTTTTCAGTGAAACAGAAAAGAGTAGAAAACATCAGAGCATGAGCTAGGTCATAGGCTAAATATTGTTTCATGACATTTTTATTTGTGTGTGTTTAGATCTTCATGTAAAATAGATTTCTTACTTGAGTCTCAGTTAAAAAAGTTTAAAAGACACTGAGTGTTTGGATATAAGGTCCCCAAGGGGACTCTCTGACCTTAATCATCACTTGGCTTGACCTGCAGCCCAGCCCCACCTCGCCAAAGCCACCCTGTGAAAGCTGGCAGCTGACAGCCAGTTCACCTGCAGACCACCCCAGATCTACCTGGAGCCTGCAAGTTACCTCATCGGGCCCTGGGCACGTTTGAGGAGCTGCATGAGAAATCTAGTAGCACTTTTCTGACATTCTCATTTCTTTTTTTCAGAAAACCAAAACCTCATACAAGTATGGAAACTAAAATACTAAGAACCAGAAAAGGAGGTCTGCTTGAACTTGTGCGTCACCAGCTCAGATCACCCCTTCCAGGACCACAGGTGAAGGTAAGGGTCGAATCGCCTATCAAATGGCTCACCTCTCCCAGTGCACAGGTATCTGCATTTGTGGCATTCCAGCAGTCCCTCAGCCTCTGACTGGTAATATTTCACTTCTTCTCGTCCAGGCCTGGGGTTCGAGGGCATGTATCTCCCTGAAGCAAGTTCACTAGAAACAAAAAAACACATGCCATTGTTGTGGTTACTTGCTATCAGTCCGTTCTGACTCACACAGTAACCTCATGTGTGCAGAGTAGAACTGCTTTGACTGTTTTTAAAAAGACTGTGACCTTTTGGAAGCAGATGGCCTGCCCTTCCTTCCAAAGCACATCTAGCAGGTCTGAGCTGCCAGCCTTTCCGTTAGTAGTCCAACACCACCCAGAGTCCCCACGTGTCATTACCAAAAACACTAAACCATTACTGTCAAGTAAATTCCAACTCATAGTGACCCTACACGTCAGTCTGCTGCTGTAAAGATGATAGCCTCAGAAACTCTATACCCTTTGCCAAAGAGTGATTAATAGTCACTTAAGAAAGACTATTGGTCAGAGTAGAACTGCCCCATAGGGTTTCCAAGGCAATAAAATCTTTATGGAAGCAGACTGCCCCATCTTTCTCCCACAAGGCGGCTGTCAACCTTTTGGTTAGCAGCTGAATCCCTTAACCACTATGCCACATGCCATTGTTGTTGTTGTTGTTATGTGCCATCGGGTTGGACCCGACTCATAGCAACCCCTCCTTGGGTTTCTGAGGCAGTATCACTACAGAAGTAGATTGCCCCATCTTCCTTCCGAGGAGTGGCTGGTGTATTTGAACTGCCAGCCTTCTGGTTAAGTCAAGTGCCTTAGGCAGTACACTAGGAGAGCGCCCCACATGCCATTAGGGAGCCTCAAATCCAATAGCTTGTTCAGAATGATAACTCTTGGCTTCTCATGCTGAGCCAAATATTAAAGAATGTGCAGAACAGAAACAAAGCCTGACACAGTATTTCATACACCAGAGAATTCTCTGGTTCATTGGGCCTGTAAGACATCTAAACACCTGGCCAAATGCAGCTAACCAGCCAGGTGATATAGCCCATAATCCAGTAAACCTAAGAACAGCCCATGATACTGTTTAGTCAGCCCACAGAAGCTATCTAACCAGATAACTGTGAGCCACCACCTTTGGTAGCATGAGTTCTCAGTTCAGTAAGACCAGGTCCCCTCAAATTTCATTTGCATTCACAAGATTCTGATGCCCAAGTGGGCATTCTTTTCTCTTGTTACTTTGGAAAGAGCTGAATCAGCAATAGTTCTCCAGGCATATGGGTGATACTGTCAACTGATGGTGATAAGATGACATCTTCACATGATCTCTCCTCTCCCCCTCCCAGCCCTTGGCCCTTTCTGTTCCTTCTTTTCCTCCTTCATCCGTATACCCTGGATCTTACCCAGGATTCAGTGGGGAGGTGGGAGAGGGGGACTGCTTTCTACTGGCTGGGCTCCAGGGAACTTTCCAAAACATAGATCCCTTTGTGTCTCTCTTAGGTTTGAAGTTCTTAAATTCTCATGTATTAGGGATAAAGTAAAAGCTTTAAACCTGGCCCAAGAGGCCTTTGCTCCACTGTCCACATTCAAAGATCTGCCACTGTGAACTGTGTCACCGCTCCCTGCAAGAACCTGCTCCCAGCCTCTGGGTGAGTGCAGAAGCTTCTCCTCAGCAACACTTTCACTTCCTCTCCCAGCCTCACCCCTTCTTTCTGCTTCTCGGGAACTCAGCTTTTAGGTGATTGCCTCTGGGAAACTTTCCTGACTCCTTGGCCCTAAAAAGGAGCCCTGCAGTGACACATTGCACTGTACTGCAGTTGGCTCATTTACCTGTCAGTCCTCCTACACCGGAAGGTAGGTCTCTATAGCTTCTGCCCCAACGGCCCATCCATTAAATGGAGGAAAGACAAATCAATTGCCCTTTGGTTCAAAACACCAACTGACTGTGAGCAAAACTATTTCCTTCCCTTGCTTTTAAGGAGTGGAGAGAAGAGGAGCTTAGGGACTGAGTCTCCAGTTTATAAGGAAACCTAAAAATGTAACTCTGGATCCTCCCATAGTGCCTGATGCATTTGACTGCTAACCAGAAGGCTGGCAGTTCAAACCTACCAGCCACTCCTGGGATGGAAGACTGGGCAATCTACTTCCATAGAGATACTGCCTTGGAAACCCAAGGAGGGATGTCTGTGAGTCGGGACCGACTTGACAGCAGTGAGTTTGGGTTTTTTGGATTCTCCCAGGTCACACAGCTGCAATGCAAAGTGACTGTAGTTGGAGAATAATAACTAGAGGCCTGTGACTCTATCTGGATGCACCCTTTGTCGTTCTAGTTGGTTTTAGATAATGTAACATAAACTCAGGATAGCGGCTTTCCGCCTGTGTGCATACAACAGGGAGAGACTGGTGTGACCCTCCAAGGGCCACAGCAGAGTGGAGCCTGACTGTTCCTCAAAGACAATGGGTGTCAAAAGGCAGATGTCAGTCATGGCCCCAGTACCTGTGTGCCTCCTTGTTGGACTGTACCCTCTGAGCAGGCAGGGACATCACCCCATCTGTTCACAGTTCACAGTGCCTGATAACACGGGCATTCAAGCCTATTTGTGGGATTGGAGGGAATGTTAGACGGAAAGGCAACCGACTCCCCAGGAGGTGGGGGGAAACTGAGTCACCTCTCTTCCTCCCATCCATCCCCAGACCCACTCTTAGCTCACAGTCTTCCAGAACATCATGATGCTTTCACCTCACAAGGACTTATGGGAATTCTCTGGATTCTACAGGCAGGGATGGCAAGATGTGTTCGTTGGGAAGGGTGAGGTCTCAAACAATCACTGGATTTGAATGAGGCAGCCCAGAAAGACTTCCCTGACCTTGGAGATCTCTGCCCTTCAGCCAGCAGTTTTAGGTAAATTTAGTTCTGTGAGTAAAAGTGTGGCTGTCTTTTTAAATTACATATACCTCTCGGAGGGGTAGCACCTTAATGTATGAACCCTTCGTTGGGATGAACTGGCCTTGGCCATCAAGGAATATATAGCACTCTCACAGTCTGTGAAGGTTCTGGTGCCAAGGGGCAGTCCTGTGAGCACGTGGGGGCGGAGGGCTGGGAGACGCTGCAGGTTAACCCCATCTACCTAATCTCCTTTCCACTCCTTCCCTTTCCTGTTCTGAAGGCTTCTCCTCCCATTTACTGGATCCCCCGACCCTGCCACTGCTAACAAGAGTGGTCGCTCTTTGTTAATGGGGTTCCAGTCAAGAAATAGGGGCACCCTAAGATCCTCCTTCCCTCCCAGGTCGCCTCTAAGAGAGCACAAGGGAGGAGTGTCTTCCTTGAAAGCGACCTCCTCCCAGGCAGACTGGCCTTTGACCCAAGCTTCCTCAGTGCAGAGGTTGCAAGGCCCGCTCCACCACCAGCCCGCGGCCGCGCCTCACCTGTCGGGTTCTCGGCGCCCGAAGCCTGCTTTCCTCTGGGGCGGCGGCTCTGGGGTTTCCCAAGGCGAGGGCCAGGGGGGTGGGGCTGCGTCCCAGGTGGAGCCCTGGGGTCTGTCCCGGGTCCGGCTTTGGCGGGACTTTTCCCAAACTCTTTGTTCGTCTGGGCGATGGCCCCCGACCCTTTGTCTCTCCTGGCGGAGATCTCGGTCCCCTCGCCGGTCCGCGTCCCGCCGCCCGTCCCCGTCTTTCTCCCGGTGCCGGTCCCTGGGTCTGTCCCGCTGTCGCTCCGGGTGGTGCTCTCGGTTCGGACGGGAGTGCCGATCCGGCTCTCTCGGTCGGGCCCGGGGTTCGCGAGCTCCCGAACGCTCTTCCATAGCCAGGTTCCGTGTCCCCGCCTGGGACCGACCCGAGGGCAACAACCAACCCCAAGTTTCGCCGACAGGTGGCCAAGGCCGGAGGCGGGGCAGCGAGGGAGGCTCACCTGCGCGCACGCGCTCAGCTCCGCTCCTGACCGGCAGGGCGCGCACCTGCGCACAAGCGCCGGCAGGGGGCGCTGCTTTGCCCAGCCCGGGGTCGCCTGGCTGAAAGACGCTTCCAGCTCTGGGCGGGAGGTGTGGATCCGTGCGTGCGGGGAAGTCCGGGATGCTCCAAAGCCAAGGGAGGCCACCACACCCACCGTGCCCGGTTTGTCCTGAAGTGTCACCTCAGTGACCCTGCAAAGGAAGCAAACTTTGGCCACCTGAGGTGGGTCAATTTAGCACCTTGGGTTTACTTTCACAGAAATAGCCATCTACAAGCCACCTACTACTGTTTGAGAAGGTGCCCTTAATGTTATCATTCAGTTTGACTGCTAACCAGAAGGCTGGCTGTTCAAACCCACCAGTCACTCCTCAGAAGGAAGATTGGGCAATCTCCTTCCTTAGCGATACTGTCTCGGAAACCCTGGGAGTCACTATGAGTCGAATCCAACTCGACGGCATTGAGTTTGGTTTTGTTTTTTGGAATGTAAGAATAAATACTTACTTTAAACATTTTTTAATGACTATTTCATGTATGTGTGTGTGGTAGGGTGTGTCCTAATCCTACTCGTATGTGGCTGTTGTTGTTATGTGCTGTTGAGTCAGACCCGACTCATAGTGACCCCTCCTTGGGTTTCCGAGGCAGTATCTCTACGGAAGTAGATTGCCCCATCTTCCTTCCGTGGAGTGGCTGGTTGATTTGAACCTCCAGCCCTCTGGTTAGCAGTCAAGTGCCTTAGGCACTATGCTACCAGAGCTCCTCCTGTGTGGCTGTTGTTATGTGCTATAGAGTCTTAGGCACTATGCTACCAGAGCACCTATATGGCTGTTGTTGTTGTTGTTGTTTGCCATCGAGTCGGCCCCACTCATAGCGACCCCTCCTTGGGTTTCCGAGGCAGTATCACTACGGAAGTAGGATTGCCCAACCTTCCTTCCGAGGAGTGGCTGGTGGGTTTGAACCGCCAGCCTTCTGGTTAGCAGTCAAGTGCTTTTAGCCACTATGCTACCAGAGCTCCCCCTATATGGCTAGTGCCTTATAAAAGAGGAGACAGTTATGGAGTCAGAGTCACACCACACGGGAAGACAGCATGTGAGATTCTGTCTATATGACAACACCAAGAAACACTTGGGGCTACAGACGCTAAGAGAGACAAGGAAGGGTCTCCCCCTGGAGTGCACGGAGAGCATAGCCCTGCCAATGGCCTGAATTCAGATTTCTGACTTCCAGGACTGTGAGAAAATTGATTTCCACTCTTTACAAAGTCCCCCCACTTGATGATATTTTTATTATGGCAGCACTAAGATACCTTCCCAATTCGGTTCTGCAAAAGGTGTCATGCAGCCATTCCTTACTAAGGAGACAGTCCTTGGAGTGTAGATCAAAGAGAAACGCTTGCAGATTCCAAGTGTGATCTTCTGGCCCCCTTTCTCCCTCAGAACATCGTGTGCGTGCCCTCAGACCAGAGACTCAGGTGGCAGGAGACACTTAGGACCCAGTTTTCCTGGAGGGACTCTGGAAGAGAAAGGAAGCCTGCAGAGAGGGCAGAGCTGGCCAGCAGATGGCAGCACAGGCTCAGGCTGGGGTGCCTGCCCAGCTAACCGGGCTCCGGGGCTCTCACTCCCACAGTAACCTCTTCCCTAACCACTTTCTCGCCCACCTCAGCCTTAGTGATTAACGCTTTATTATCACAAATGTGATAGAAACATGCACTTCAGTTTAATTCAACATTTCCTGACGTTCACATAATACATATGGGGCTGGAGTTTGGGAAGTTACTCAACCTACATGTGCCTAAGAGTCCTCTTTCACAAAATGGGGATAATAAGTGTACCTGCCTCATAGCATTCGGGAGCTCTGGTGGCGTAGTGCCTAAGGCATTGCACTGCTAAGCAGAAGGCTGGCGGTTCACACCCACCAGCCACTTCTTGGAAGGCAGATTGAGCAATGCTTGACAGAGATGAACCTGTTGCTGTCGAGTACATTCCATTCTGACTGACAGTGATCCATAGGACAGAGTAGAACTGCCCCATAGGGTTTCCAAGGCTGTAATCTTTATGGAAGCAGACTTTCCACATCTTTCTTCCACAGAGTGGCGGGTGGATTTGAACTGCCAACTTCTCAGCAGCCAAGCGTGTAACCACTGCATCACCAGGACTCCTTCTGACAGATTAATAGTATAAAATTATTTGTTTTTATTATTGTCATTGTTACTGATTATCAGGCATTGTGGACTCAGATATGAATCCTAGGTCTTGCCCTCAGAGAGCTCACATCCTAATGAGAGAGACAGATAAGTAAATGTAATACTGAGGAAAAAAAGATGTACAGATGGGGTGTGAGTGCATTATGGAGGCAGAAGTAACCAAAAATGCCTTCCCAGGGGAGTGGGTGCTTGAGGAGGATTCTTAGGAATGAGTAAGCCAGAGGAGCTTGGGGTTTGAGGAGCCAAGGGCTGAAAACCATCCCAGAGAGCAGCAAATACAAAGCTCAAGCCTGCAGGGATGTTTGGGGACCTTCAAGTTCAAATTGTTCCATTGACCAAAGTACTAGGAACAGGTGGAGGAAAAAGAACAGACCAAAGTAGTAAACAGAGGCCAGATGATAAGGGCTTTGAAAACCAGACGTATGCACTTGGACTTAAAACTGTGGGTCTGTGGTCTCCTAAGCAAGCACACACAATCCCCACTGAGGTATAGAGAGAAAATAACAGAACTTCTGTTTATTTAACCCACACTGTGGGTCAGAATTTCAGGAGTAGCTTGGCTGGGTGGTTTGCAGCTGTCCCACAGAGCTGTACTCAAGAAATTGTTGTTACGGGAGCTCTGGTGGCACAGTGCCTAAGGCACTTGACTGCTAACCAGAAGGCTGGCGGTTCAAACCCACCAGCCACTCCTCAAAAGGAAGGTTGGGCGATCTACTTCCACAGTGATACCGCCTCAGAAACCCAAGGAAGAGGTTGCTATGAGTCAGGTCCGACTCCATGGCACGTAACAACAACAGCAACATTGCTGTCCTGTCAGTTGTGACCCATGGTGACCCCCTGTGTGCAGAGTAGAACTGCTCCATAGGATTTGCTTTGAGAAGCAGATCAACAGGCCCATCTTCCAAGGCATCTCTGGGTGAGTTCAAACCCCAGCCTTTCAGCTAGTAGTTGAGCCCTTAATACCTTGCACTACCCAGGGACTCCTTGAGGTATTCTGGGTTCAGAGTCTGATTCTATCACTCATTAGTTATGTAATCTTGAAAAAGTAATGTCACCTTTCTATGCCTCCATTTACTTATTAGTAAAATTAAGATAATAATACTTCATAGAGATATTGGGAAGATTAAAAGGGTTAATATGTTTGATGCATTTAAAACACTGTCAGAAGGACAGATAGAGCCAAATAAGAATTTGCTGTTATTATTATTATTTCTCTTAGCCATATATTATAAAACCCTTTCCCATGATGGTATATAGTCTTTATAATTGTGATTATAGTAAGTACATGCACCTTTGAATTGATGTATCATAATTTACTTAGCTGTTCCCAACTTGTGAGCATTTAGAATGTTTTCCATTTTTCAGTATTAGAGCTAATGCAGAAATAAACATACTAATATTAACAATAGCAGCCAGTGACTGGCTTGCAAGGACTGATCGTGGTATTTCTTGCCAACTCTGCATTCAGTGACATCACGCTGGCATCTTGAAATCAGCCATGGTGTGATTATTTACACCAAGGAAATTGACTCATCAGGGATTGTCCACCCTGAGAGCTGCTTGCTAAAGGTTCACAGCGCACCACTGTCAATATACTTGGAAAGATTATTATCTGCTAGATGCTCTGCTCTGCTTTTTACTGCATTACCTTATTAACAAAACTCTGTGGAGTAGGGAAAATTGTTACCCCCACTTTTGTTGTTGTTAGTTGTCACTGAGCCATCTCCAACTCACGGAGACTTTATGTCGAATGGAACGAAATGTTGGCAGATCCTGCACCATCCTCACAATCACTGGTATGTTTGAGCCACTGTTGCAGCCTCAGTGTCAATCCATCTCATGAAGAGCTCTCTGTTTTTTCATTGACCCTCTACTTTACCAAACATGATGTCTTTCTCCAATGGAATCTCAGAGAAGTTAAGTAACTTATCCGAGGTCACATAGTTGGTTTAAGTGGCAGACTCTGAACTCAAAACCTGGATCTATCTGATGCTAAAGTCTATGATTTTAGCTACTGAAGGTGATAGATTTTTTTTTTTTTTTCCTTCATTAGATTATCTTGAGGATAAATTCTCAGGAGTAGAATACCCAGGTCCAAGAATATAGATCTTTTCGTGTCTCCGTGTGTCTTTTTTCCCCATTTTTATTGTGATTTGGGTGAAAGCTTACAGAGCAAATTCATTTTCCATATAGCAGTTCATACACATTTTGTTTCATGACATTGACTGCAATTCCCCACATTGTTACAGCTCTCTTCCCACTTCCTCCCTATAGTTACGTCTTTCCTGTGTCCTTCTTTCCTATGCATTTCTGCCCCTGAGCTATATACCTGTGCAAATACTGCCTTTCTGTTCTCCCACGATTGATCATTCTAAGGAGTATACCTACCTGATGTAAATGTTCACCCTATATGCCTGTCTCTTCTTTGGCTGGAAGCCACAGGAGTGAGTTCAATTCCAGACCGGAAGGGTAACTAAGGGCCAAAGTCTCAGGGGGGTCTCACTAGGCTCTATCAGAGCAGTAAACTTGGTCTTTTCTATGATCTTGAGTTTTGTTCCACATTGTTCTCCCATTCTATCCAAGATCTCCTGCACTGATCCCTTTCTGAGTGACTGACAGTGGTAGCCAGACACCATCTAGTTCTTCTGGTCTCTTGGTCACATAGGCCGAGATTCACATGGTCCACTAGTCCCT